ATGGTCACTTGGAACATAGTTGTCCTTTAAAACTTAGAAAACATTTTAAAATTAGACAAGTATGGGTTCCTAAGGGAACAAGAGACTTTTGCACTAACATCAAGGATCCAAAACAATTTGGATACCCAAAGCTATATAAATGTCTCTTGTAGGTGTGTGGAGCAATGAAGTCAAAAGTGAAGAAATTCAAATGCTCTAGCCACAAAAAATGAGGAATGACTAACCTCTAAGTTTAATTGTTTTTTTGTACATTGGTTGCCTATTTTGTTTTATGCATGCATAAGTTTTGAACATAAATGATTATATATTGTTTTCCCATCTCGTGTTTGTTAAAATGTGTTATGGTGAACGTTTTAAAGTTTTAATAATTTTTTATTTTAGCTCACCATAATAATTTTTGGTCAAAATTTACTTTTAATGTTTTTTTTTATAAAATTTTACTTTTTACCTTAAATTTAAATGTTTATGCATGTGATTTTATTGTAAATGATGTCTCTCTAACAATTGATATCAATTTTTCAAATGCATAACATTTTTGGATAGCTTTATGCATATGAACTTTAAATGTTTAATGTTAATATTGCATAAAGTAGTATAGACTTGGATTTATTGAATTTTATGTGTTACTAACATGTTTGCTCATCTTTATTGAAATTCAATAGTTTTTTAAGTGTCAAGCTTTTAAAGTCAAATATTTTTTTAGAATGCATTTTTTGAGGGAGAGCTTTTGATTTTTCAAATGGTCATTATGTTAAACTTTTTACTTACTCTTCATTATTATTTTTTAACTTAAATGTTTGAATTATTTTTGATATAACAAAAAGGGAGAGAAATATAGGTTTGAAAGATTCAATTTCAAGAATTAGGGGGAGCTTTAATATCTTTCAAACATATTACTCTTTTTCATTAAATGTTTTATTAAGGGGAAGTTTTGCCAAAACCATTTTTCAAATGTTTTGTTATATCAAAAGGGGAAGATTGTTAAACCTATTTTGTTATAACAATTTTAAGGGCAAAAATGTTTTTGGACTAAATTGAATTTATTCAAAGTTTTCAAAAATAATTCAAAGTCCATAAAACTTGAATTTGAACACATAGATGATTTTCTAGAAAAGAAGTACCGATAATGTTCTTATAGTATCGATACCATGTTCTTACAGTATCAATACCACATGAACAATATCGATATTGTTCTTGTAGTGACGATACCCAAGGTAAGGAAAGTATCGATATTGCTTATTTGTTTTAAATGTGTTCAGATTCCAATAGGCATTTTTGGTCGATACTCAAAGAAGTATCGATACTACTTTGTATAGAAGTATCGATACCATGACCTCGATAATGATACTCCCAGCCCAACGGTTGAAAAACAACTGGTTTTTATTAGTGAAGTATCGATACTCCAAGCTTGAGTATTGATACTCCCTGGTCTGGGCAGTTTTATTTTTCAACAATTAAGTCCCAACGGCTCCAAAACATCTTTAACGGCTAGAAACAGTTACAAACACATTCCAACATATAAAATGAAGTTCAAGACACTTGAAGAAGGTGACACAACACCTATCCAAGCATTGATCATCATGAGAAAAGCTTTCATTCTTTATTCTTCATTTTCACTTGTAAATATGGTGTTTTTAGTGAGCTTAATATTTAAACACCTTCCTTTGAGAGGTTTCTTGTTTACATTCTTTATCCTTTTAAAAAAAGGGTTGGTTTCTAGTTTAACCATTGAAAACTAGGGAGTTGTAAAAGGTTGCTCTTGAGCCTAGAAAAAAAAAGAACAAATTAGTGAATTTGTTAGAAATCCTTAGTGTAGAGCTAAGCTAGTGGATGTAAACTTCATTGAAGAAGTTGAACCACTCTAAATACTTCTGCAAATTTTATCTTTTCTCTCCATACTCCCAAAATTTTATTTATCCAATTCACCCACCCTTGGTACTTTTTCGGTTGATCGATAGAGCATCATAAATCCCAACAAATTGCCTACCCATCAATTTCCCTTAGTTAATCATGTTTGAGCTTATTCCCCTTCTTTGTTTTTATCACATTTTTAAAAACCCGAACCTTTTTGTTTATCTCTTTTTTATACGCTTATCAGGGCAAGAGAACGAGATAGTCGATGTATGATTATGGTCCACACGAGAAAAATAAAAAAGGAAAAAAGAAAAAGAAAAAATAGTTTGAAAAAAAAGGATTGTTTGATGTTTTGTTTCATATTTTGCATCCCTTTTACTTACTTTGTTTATTTTGTGGAAATTCGATATAATTATTTGTGAGTCTCTTGTCTTGATCTTTAGCCATATTTTTATATTTCTCCCTATCTTTACCTAAGCCTCGTTACAACATATTCAAGACCCTTTGATTATTTCATCTTGTTCTAATTAGTAGTGAAGATTTGATTTTCTTACAGGCTTATGGTAATATCATGTTCGGCTCCGACTTTTAGCGTTTTTACACCCAAAACACATTGAGTGAATTGAATCAATCTTTGTGAGGTGTTAAGTTAGGTTGCATTGAGATTGATGGATGAATATATATGTCATGATTGTACTTAACTTGATCCTAGTCGTGCTTTCCAATTGATTGATATCTTGATTTGGATGATTATTGTGAACTTGATTGCATGGTTTCATATGATATGAGACGAGACAAAGAAAGGTAAACGAAGATTTTAACTTTTTTGATTGAAGCACGCTTGAGGATAAGCATGAGATAAGTGAGGGGGAATTTGATGATTGTTTTATTTTGTACATATTTTATTGATAATTAATCATTGTTGTTTCATTGATGTTGTTGATTTGAGCTATTTTTATTCGATTTTATGCATGACTTTTAATTTACAGGAAACAACATTAAAAGAGCAAGTTTGTAGTTTTTTTTTTTTATTTTCTAGAATCAAGGTTGGACTCATAGGCGTGATGGTGTCCGATGTGGCAGATTCTGACGGTCCAGTTAGCATTCTCTAGAAGGAAGAACAAGCGACAATTTCTTAGGATTTAAGTTTACATTTGAATTCAAAACAAATATTTGGGAATTATGTTTTTAGGATTATCCTTAGTTATTTTATTTTATTTTATTTAGGTTATTTAAAAGCTATAAATACCCCTTATGATAATGCTTACAAAAGTACTTGGATTCAATTTGTTTTTGTTTCATTTTTTTATAAAAGTTTTTCTTCCTTTAATCTTTGTTTTTACTTTAAGTCTTTACTTATTTTCTTTAAAAATGCTAAGTATGATTTCTATCATGCTTAGCTAATTTTTTTCATTTAGCCAATGACTTAGCAATGACTTAGCAATGACTCAATTCATATTGTGAGAATTGAAAAGCACTTAATATATTCGAATACCATTCTAGATTTTCTACAAACTTGGATTTGCTATTGGTATTTCCTTTAAAAAAAACTTAACACTTTTATTTCAAAAAGTCGGTGTTGGTTTGAATGTTGTTTTGATTTAAAGTTGGGAGCTGGAAGAATCGACTGATAACAAGTTTGACTTCCTATGATCACACTTAGTGGTGGTCCACTAAGGGAAATTGAGATCGAATTCGATTCTCATTGAGACAACATAATCCGAGTCGTGCTTTTCTAGCGCATTAAATTGTTTTGGTGCTAACGGCGATAGCCGTATTTAGTCCAAATAATGACTAAATTTCAAAGATTAACTTGGGAATATCGGTTTACCAGAGAGAAAAGTAAGTTACAAGAGTTGAGCCTTGTAGACCATATCGGCAGGAATCCCGAAGTAAAATCTATTTCGATGCTCAAAATGAATTGAGGCAAAACGAAGTTTGAGGCTATTTTTTCATCATGATTGCTTTCAACTATTATTTTCACTTTTTGTTATTTCTTTACTTATTTCATTTTACTTAGTTTTTATTAACAAATACCATTTTTCTTTTTACGATAGTTTCTCTGGATCATAACCAACACAATTCGACGTTAGAAATTTCTAAGTCTATGTGGATCAACCTTTTCTTCTCTGTAATACGTTTCAATTTATTTTATTTGAGAAAAAAATGATATTTTATTTGACAATATAAGACGCTTCCAATGAGTTTTTCTAAGGCAAAAGCATCATTTTTCAATTTCTTGGTTTGAGTTAATAATTACGTTTCAAACGTTACATTTTTAGCTAAAAATGAGTTGTTTGGGAATGTTTTTGCGCTTCAAACGGCTTTTTGGGCCAAAAACACTTCCATAAGTATTTCCAAACAACCTTAAGCCTAATTATAATTATAGTTGTAAAAAAATACAAATTAAAGATCATTTCACATACCTTAATCATATGCTTTTACAACATAATGTTCCCAAGCTTTGTAGTAAATAAAAATGTTCCCAAGTTTTTTCCCTTTTCAAAACTGAAAATAAAGCAGAAAAGTGAATAATAATGGAGAAAACATAAGAACTATGTGAAAAGAATGAGCCGTAAAAGCCCCAGAATGAGTGGAAGCTGGCTGGCATGGAAGGAAGGAGAATTGGCGGCCATTGTAGTGATCTTCATCTTTATGCCCTGGTCGCAATGGCCTAATATTCCACCAGCGAAGTAACAAGTGCCCACCTTGTTGAGTTTCATGACATCGTTTTTGTAGGTAGGATAGTCACCCTTTAAAATTTAAAATTACCATATATTTTTTATTGAAAATCTATTTTCATCATCCTGAAATTTTATAAGTTCATCTCTTCCTAAAATTCTAAAAGTTTTTTAACCCCATAAACTTATCGACCAGAGAGTTTATAATGACTGCAACGTAATGTAACGAATGTTGTAGTAGTATCAATGGTGAACAGAGTTGATTAAAGCACATTATGTTGAGATTGATATATATGTGTAAAATAAGTCATAGAAACTTGGAGTTTAAACAAAGCTAAGATGGTGATCTGTTCATCAATGGGGCCTTTTCTTGTAAGCAAAAATATTCTAAACAGAATATCATAGAAGCTGGAAGCCTGCCACTATTCATATTTTTAAACAGAAGTTACTAACATATGTATATATAATACTTTTCATAAGCCATGTATTTGCTGTAATGCTTTTTACATTGCTTGAATCTGAAAATCCAATATGTAACTATGGTTCCCCGAGACTTCGTTATATCCAACAAAACTTTTACCTTGCGAGCACGATCTCTGGGACTCGAGTTCCAGGCTTCTTCAACCTAAGTGCCGGGATATCGATGGGAACTAAGGATTATAATTTACGTCCATTGCAGGGTTCATTTTCTTCTTCCTCTCATTAAAGCTACCGCACGAAACCAAGCTAGGAAGGCAACGTTGCGTAGACCTAAGAGGTTTCTCCTTAAGCATAAGGTTATCTCCATACGCAGTCCTTTCACTACTGCACCGGGAGTTAGCTCGAGAGATACGAGGAGTGCCATCGGCAGATTTCGGAGGTAGTACGTCTTGGATTGTTGGTTTGACTTTTAGCTTTCCATTGGCAGTGTCCTGGTTGATCAAGGTATTCAGCTCGTTGACATCGTGATCTTCTTTAGTGTTGTCACGGAATAGATCGACCAGCTTCTTTTTCTTTCCTAGGGATATTTCCGAAGCTGAACCGGAAGATCCTTCTTCAGTGGCCTTGTAAATTCTTGGTGCCCCGGCAGAGAAGCTATTATGATGAACAGGGGTGTTACCACGAGATGGAGTGAAATCTGCTCACAGATGTACAACATTTGGATCAGACAATAAAGATCAGAAAAACATGTTAACTAGAAACCAATTTCTGAAATCCAAAAAAAGAAAACAGAAAATGGCAATGGAGATAGCACAATGATATTCCAGCATTAGTAAACAGAGATGTCGATGTTTTACTCATTAAACACCCAAGGAACAAGTGTTGCATATGCCTAAAAATAAGAGGGCAGTAGGAAACAGAAGAAAAGAAATGAACAGATAATGGAAATTATATGCGCTTGCTTTACAAATTAATTCAAATATTTCTAACATCATTACCACCATTGACACTGAAGAAATCGTCATCACAATCCGAATCCAGGTATGCTCGGAAGTCAAAAAAAGTTTCATCTTTTCTACCTGCAAAAACGAAAAATCAATATTAAGCATTGACTTCATAGAATAAATCTAGAAATTAGATAGAACTGCATCCACATGATGTAGAGTACCACTACCTCCAATCATAGACATTGAATTCCAATCTTGAAAAAGAAGAGATTCAACATCTAGGGAAAGCAGACAAGAAAAAAAGCAAAAAATTCAAGAACCATAGAATCCAAGTCCTCCAAAGGACCTCAATTTGATATTAAAAACATACCAGCAGTTCATTTCTACATAAATGAACTTCACATTCCCACTGTCAAGATGATCAAAATCGATAGCAATGGTACATGATATAAGAGACAACCACACTTGCAGAAAAACAGTTCGCGGACAGAAGAATGTCATCTATATGATATTTTACTGGCATTAACATCAATATCAGTAGTCCTGTGATACACAAGCCAACTGTATTGAATTGGACATATAGCAAGGGACCACAACAACATAAACCGAAACTGTATTGAATTAGGCATACATCTATGGCAGACATTGATACAAAAACTTGAAAGTACTATGGCAGACATTGATACATCTATGGCAGACATTGATACAAAAACAGTTCGCGGACAGAAGTATGTCACTTGAAAGTAAGATCAATATACTGATAGGAAACAAAAACTTTGCATCAAGTTAACATCTCATATCGTCAAAGCAAAGCATCCTCTACAAATAGAAATAGAGAGAAACGCCATTGAAGATTGGAAAACATAAAACAAAAAAGATTCCCTTTGCCTCAAAACCAAGGAAACTAGCTTCAACTTTTTTTTTTAAAGGAAAAAGGAAACTAGCTTCAACAATGGTTTTATATAAAAGTATAAAACTATCAGGAAATCAATCTACATAAATTTTAGAAAGTAAAGAAAGATTGGGATTTGGGAGTGGAATCACCATTGGCAGCATGGGGTTTGTCCTTAGCAGATGAAGGTGGGATGATGAGATTGTCTGTTTTAGACCCAAAAGAGAGTCCAACTTTCATGACTGACTCTTGAGAGCTCTTATGCAGCGATGCACAAGAACCCATTTCTCTCTCTCTCTCTCTTTTCACCTTTAGTTTTTTTTTTTCTTTTGGGATATCTCCAACTCTTTAGAACCTCAACATCAGCTACGGAGAAAAACAGAGAGAGGGACTGCAGCATCCAAAGGCATAAATAAGAGAATAGAGCGTTTTATTGGCGTTATGCGAAACAATCCCCCCCCCCCGGGGGGCCCGTTTCCTTAACAATAACCATAAGCAAAGCAATGCATGAAAATAGTTTCTCTGGATAAATTATATAATTGGTCCCCCGATTATAAATTATTATTTTATTAAGTCCTCCAACTATTAGAAGTTATAAAATAGTCTCTCGATTTCAAGAAGCTATTTTTTGAGTTTCCAATCATTAAAAATTATAAAATGATCACTCAACTATTCATATATTTCAAATTCATCATTTTCTGTTAAAAATTAATGATCGTTTGATCTAGATGTAAGATTATTGATCGAAATATGATAAAATTATATTTTAATAATGTTTATTGGAACTTTTGTTGCTTTCAAGCATTGAATCAACATTATAATATTTCAAGCATTGATTTAACGACATAATATAAACAAAGAATCGATCCATAAAATATAGCTCAAATGATTCTAGAATCAAATTTTATCATATATCAATCAACATATTTATGTCCATATTAGAAGACTGTCAATTTTTTAATAAAAAATGAGGAATTTGAAATATTTGTATACTTGAGTAACTATTTTGTAACTTTTAATAGTCGATGGACTTAACAAAGTAGCTCCTTACAGTCGAGGGACCATTTGTTTACTTTTACCCTACATATATTTAAAAAATGGCTTAAATGTATAAAAGGTGCCCAACGTATGCTCGTTTTTTCAGTTTAGTGCCTAACATTTTTTCGTTTCAATTTGGTGCCTAACATTTCATTTCGTTACTCAAAATGGGTCACGCCGTGACAGACCCTTAGTTTTCTCCGTTAAATGACATGTGTCACAATATGGTAATTTTGAAAATTTTATTTAAAATTAAAAAATAAAATTATATATTTTTTTAAAAAAGAAAACATAATTTTTTTAAATAACCACAAAATTTTGAAAACCTTCATTTAACCCTTTAGCCTTTAACCCCATCAACAAACCACCCTTCTTCAATTGGTGGTGGTGTACATCGCCGCTCCCACCGAACACAGCAGCAACCGACGACCTCAACCCAACCCTCAGATCACCCAAAATCGGTCATCGTCGAACTTAATCGCAAGGAAACCATTTGGTAGCCCACCTCCAACCTCGACCACTACTTGTCGGGAGTCATCACTGCCTAGCCTAGTGGAAACGTCGTCCCGGACCGGTCATAGCCCAGTCATCCACTTGCCTCCAGTCGTTCTTGGTGGAGTTGCGTTTGAAAGTACGACCAAAAGCCCCCATCACCGTTTGATTTTTATGATTTCCGGCCGAAACAACCGCCTTTCCGCCTCACCGCCACCGAAGCTGAGCTTGTCGGTCATGTCCGACCAAAACCCAACCGGTTTGGTAAGTCACCATCACCGAGCGGACGAGCTTGGAAGAGGGGCGGTCAAATAGTTTAGGGTTGAAATGAATTTTTAATTTTAAATAAATTTTTTAAAATTATCAGATTGTGACACTGTCACTTAACATAGAAAACTAACCGTCCGTCTTGACGTGACCCATTCTGAATAACAGAATGAAACGCTAGGCACCAAACTGAAACAAAAAAAATATTATGTACTAAACTGAAAAAACGGGCATACATTGGGCATACATTAGGCATCTTTTATATTTAAGCCTTAAAAAATCATGCAAGTAAGACAATTAAATTTCTTGGTTATATTAGATTCGCTAGTTTATTGCAAATCTAACGATTTTTGTTGCAAAATTGTTAGTTTCAATAAAATATAAAATATACTTGCAAATTTGTTAGTTTCAATAAAAAAAATATAATATAATTTTAAATTTGTTAGTTTTGATAAAAAAAAATCTAATATAATTTTTCGAGACAAGGTTATATAAAATTGTTAGTTTATTGCAAATGTGGCTCCCATTCACAGATGCAAAACTCACGAGGCTTACTCAATAATTAAAGGGATTTTTGTTGAAACTTAAAGCTGGAATTGAGTGTTGCTTAGTGATCTAACGAGTGGCCATAAAACAATTAATCCCCATTATCTCTTACCTGCTTGTACCTTAAAAACACATGTAATTCAGCGGGATCAACAACAATCTGGATAACCGTTGAGTGTAACTTAATTTAATATCAAAACAATTGAATACAGTAAATTATTTTTATAGAAAAGGAATTGTTATTAATCTTTAATGATCTAGGTTTAAATATTATAAATGCTAGGGGTATAAAATTTCAATATTAAAAGGTTGAGATTTTTATAAAAGATTTTATCTTGTGATTATCTTAAATAATAAAAAGACAATTGAATGCAAAATTAAATATTTAAAACTCAAAAAATTGAATTTTTTTTATTGATTTTTCAAGTAATCTCTAAGAATTGAAATAAGCAGTTTTTTTCATAGATTAAAAATATTATTATATATTATATTATATTAAATTATTAAATTAAATTTAGTTGGTTATATTAAACTTTAATTATGTGTAACCCCCTCAGACCGATGGGGATAGCCCGATCCGATCTGAAGTGTCACATTAGGGCCACCGGAGCGACCCACCGTAAAATAGCGGAAAATTTAAAACTTTTTATCAAAACATGTAAACTCATAAAATTATTTATGAATACAAAATAAAAGTTATTAGTATTCGAAATAAACCAGATTTTCAGACTCATATATATAAAACAAAATACAATATGCATGCCCCCTAATCACATGTATCATACTCTGAAAACAATGCCGAAAGAGCTCCCTTATTGAATTCGATAGATGCACTGGTACAATTCTTTTAACCTGCAATGGTGTGTAATAGAGTGAGCTTCGGAAAGCTCAGTAATACAGAACTACCAGATGATGCTACATGACATGCAAATAAATGGGTAGCCATAATTTCCTTATTGAATCAAACGTATACCAATTGCGGAATAATTTGGGGTCCCATTAGTAGTTCATCGAGTAGAAGCCATGAATCTCAGTTCATAAGAAACCTTTCATACTAACACGTTTTCATGAGGTCAAATAGGATGTCTAGTGTGTTCCATCAGTACGATAAAATCATAATCGGTACACTAATCAAATGATAGTTCAGTAAAATCCCATAAACCATATTGTAGTGGAGCTTTTTAAACTCGTATTTTAAAATCATCCCATAAACGATATCAGGAAATACGGACGTACTTGATTCATGGTTCATAACCCATAAAGACAATTCATCATGTAAGTTCAACAGTGTTTCCAGACTCATCCAATCACCTATTTAATCCTCAGCCTTTGAGATTACTTAGTTCGTTTAGCAATCAAATCTATCTCGGATACTTCAGAATTTTCCAAATTAATTTAGACGTTTCTAAATTTCATATACATATTGTATTTCCTTTCAGTTCAATTTAGTCATATACTAGAGTCATTCTGGTATTCGTTGTTGATTTGTCTCACGAATATCCACTTCTTAGTACCGAATGCGTTCTAGAGTTGATCTGAGCAAATTACTTCCAGAATTATCATCTATCCATACTTGAGAAGACGAACACACATTCAAGTGATATCTATGCCATTCATATATATACATAGCATTAGGGTTGATCAACTCACTTAAGTTATGTTCCATAACTTTTAGGGGTAGTACAACACCTATGTTTATTTGGATTTCTTATTTAATCCAAAACATTTACTTAGTCTAGTCAATAAAGGAATTTTGGTCATTTTGGTGCTCTCCGTTTTTCTATTCATTTCAGAGCTTGAGTATATCCATTCATTCCTAAGCTTGGTGACATTCTTGAGTCATTTCCATTCTAGGTGTATTTTGGCCATTTTACATATCCAATGTATTTCAATCATTCCTTCCGTTCGATCTTATTATTTAATTTAATCTTATCACTTACTGCAGTTCCTTCGAACTATTCCGACAAAATATCACCATCGATAAATTATTATTCTTAATGTACTTACTCAAGTCAGAGATTTCCAGGTTAAATGACTTCTCAGATGTTACTAACGCATTATCAGGAATTTTCCATACAAAAATAGGATCTCAACAATCAAATCAGTAATTGATCGGTTTAAAAATAAATTCTCATGATACTTCCTCATTCAGAGTCAACTTGGACTATTTTTACTTCTCAATGGCATTTTCGTAATTTCTTAACCAGATAATTTCGGTATTAACTCTTAAAGAAAATCATTATACTTTAGAGATCCAATGGTTAATTGATTTCCCGAACATTCTTTGATCTTGAAATGATTCCTTAACAAACTTCTAGTATCTTGCATAAACCCTATTGGGTTAAAAACCAGTTATCCAAATTTTCTAAGCAAACTAACATTTCTTATGCACATATGTAGTTTTATCAAATCAATATATCCTTTCAGAGTTATTAATCAACTTCCAGGAACAATTCTTGTCATCTTACAACATAAGAGTATTTCCGTAATTTTACCCTACCTGAATATTATCATAATTTCCCATCCAAGTACATTTGATGAAATAATTTATATGTTACATATCCAAGATGATTCATTTATCACTAAACACAGAACTTGTAATTTTAATTCTAACAATCCATCAATTTCTTTTAAAAGTCATCTGAACCATAATCAGTTACCGAATTTGTTATCGTATCCGGATTGAGTGTAGAGATTAATTAACTAAACATATGAGACCAATATTATCTTATTCATGCATTTACCAATATTCACATGTTCCATAAAACATAAAGAGGTAGTAAAGTATTACTTCGATTTCCGTGACATACTGATCGACCATAAAAATTCCATTCGAACGCCCTCGATCTTAAAATCATCTTCCAATATTTCCTCATATGCATATCAACAGAAATTACATCAAAAATGAGCTTAATTTCGATAAACGGATCGAATCGGGTGATAAATTAGTCAAAAAAAGCTTATCGGGTTTGAATTTGGCGAAACGGACTTCGGATTCGGATTCAAGACGTCGAAAGCATAAAATATGACTTTTCGAA